CCCTAGTTATAAATCTAGATAGTGAAAATCTAGACAATGAATCTAGACAGTGTTCAGAAACACTGCTTGGTAACAACTTTGTGCCACTTTTAATGGAAGGTCTTGAGGAAACAAAAAAAAAAAAAAATTCATATGTGTTTAAGGACACTATCTCACTGTTAGCAAAGTCAGGCTTCCTTTCTCTCCCCCCTAACCTGCCCATCCTAGTATAATTTGAATATTGTAGTCCTATCATAATATATAGCATTTATTTTTAATGGCGGGAAATCTTTAATTTTATTGAATTTTTTTTCAAATTTAGATTAATATGATCAACGGGTTTGAAGTGTTGCAAAAAGAATTAAAGGTGTGGCACTGTCTTGATTCAAACCACATTTCTCAGGATCTTGTTTCTATGTAGAGCTTCAGCAAAAGCAAGCCAAAATATCACCTGGCTTACATATGGCAGTGTTTCACAGACCTTATGTTTATAAACTCAATGCACATGTATGAATTCAGTTTATACTGAATTATATTGAGTTTATATTCCGGTTTTTATTTTGTAGCCTGTGTTTGTAAATCAAGGATTTTATAATACATAACAGACTGAGGCACAACTGGGATGCCAAATTTTATTCTTCAGTAGGTCCAGATGCAGGATTCTGTTTTCACTAATGTGCTGAAACTCTACTAACTACTGCTCTAGTACCGTTTACTTGGTGTAATAGCACTACCTTGATATGACAGCCCTATTCAGAAAATTTTTTAACAATACATCTAACATAAATGGATTTCAGACAATCCTTCAAGTGTTAGCTTAAAAGAAGCCAAGTACGCAGACATTAAATCAGAATAGTAGTATTTGTATTGCTTGTATTGGGATTTCAGCAAGTAAGCAAGTTCAGCTATTGTGTTTGCTCTTAAATTTTGATTGTCCCTTTTATTGTGTTTGTCTGTGTCTCTTTTGTTTTTCTTTTCTTTTCCCCAGTTGTGCCTTTGGAGGCTACAATTTACATATAGCAATATATAATACAAATAAATGGCTGTAACCTGTTATTATGTAGTATTTTGATGCACTGTATTTCTTATTTTGATATGTTTTTGATATGTTACTTTTTGTATGTGTATTTACAAGATTTCCATGGATGATCCTGATGTTACCTACAGAGAATTTCTGATCTATTTTTTATTTTTTTTTTGCAAAGCAGAAGCTGAGAGGAAAAAGCAAGTTATAGTCTGAGTTCTATGGGCTCATGACACCAAATAAAACTTGGGTTTATTTCATCTCAGTTTTGATTTTCTATGTTTTAAAAATACATAAGAAAAATAACTCCACTGATATTAAAAAGGTGGATAACAGTTGATTTTACAGGAAATCAGTAAAATAAAGCATGCTTTCCTCCCATTTCTCTCTAGTTCAATTTTTCATGCAACGCTGTTTCTTAAGGGTTTCAGAAATTTATTACTTGCATTAAGTTCTTTGCGGGAAATGGTAGAATATAAAGAACTGAATTGAGCAAACCTTTTCATCTAATGTATTTCCCTCCAAAATATTCTGCCTTTTGGTGATAATCTGTTTGAATGGCATACACTGTCTGCACAGTGCCAGCCTTAATTATTTAAAGTGTGTGAATAAGTTGCAGTGTGCTCAGGTTGAGGCTGACAAGTTGTCACATCAGAGTTCACATGTGCAAATGCTATCATTTTCTAAATAGATATGGAAATTTGACAAAAACTTTTGCACCGAAATTGTCAATCTTTAGGAAATCAAGAGTAGTGTTTGAAATATCTCTGTGGAAATTCAGTTAAATTTCATAGAGCAAATATACCATAATTTGGCAACTTTTAACTGATAAATATTAGTGTTCATTAAAACACTGTTAAAATGGGATAGTAAGAGATGAAAGCTATCTTCTACAGGGTAGTTAAGCTATACCTGACTTTAAGGAAGTAAGCAATCCTGCTGATTTTTGTGGAGCAGACACATTTAAATCAGAGTCTGTAGTCTGCTTGGTGAATGCTTGAAATACCTTAATCATGACAGTATTGTTTTGATGGGAGGAAAACATATACATTTGAAAGCATGACATTGTTGACTGAAAAATAGAACAGTTACTTATGAAGAAGTATGCCAGAACTTTTGAGACCACTCTAAATAATAGAGCAGGGTTAGTTTGAAGTTATGATAAAACTTTATGACAGTACCTCTTCCCATTGTGCCCTGTAGAAATCTTGATAATGAGCTAGAGTTGAAATACCATTTCTAAAAATCTTTACTGAGAAAAAAATTGGTACAGTTGAAAGTAAATTTGCATTTCTAGTAGCTTATCTAATAATTTTGCTAGCGCTTCTTGGTTTTAAGCATAGTTCCCATGAGTTAGATGCAGATACCATGAAATAATAGCAAAACTAAATCTGTGCATTTCAAGACCTGTGGATTTAAGTCAACATTAGTGTTGCGTATAAAAGCTGTTATCCTTTCTGGTGTTTTTGACATGTGAATCATACATCTACCTAGACTGTTTATTCCATGTCCTTAGCACCATTAATAAATTGTAATATAAATTCTGCAGATCAGGCTGCATAAGCTTACTCTGATCTAGTGATAAGTAATACTTTGTAGGCGGAAAGACCTGATTATTATTTGAAAAACTAGCAAGGACTGAAAAGAAGCAATGGGAGTGCTTGTAAGCAGTCTTGTTCCAGGGTAATCAACATAGACCTTAAACAAAGGTGTGGTGAAAATTTTTCAAAGGAGTTCTAGCTAATGGGCACATTTTAAAGATTTACCAAAATAAGTATCAACAGATTTAGAAAAACAAATACAAAAAGAAAACATTATTTTACTTCTGCTCCTTGCTATGCTTAGTAGGAGCAGTATTTTGAAAAAGAAAAACATTGTGATGTGTTTAGGCTTTGTGTGTTGTATTTTCTCTTACCCTGCAAAAGATGTACTTTGACATATATGTATTTTTTTAAATGGGATGAAGAACTTGATAATTTTAAAATTATATTGATGGGAGTTAAATTCTGAAGAAACTTTTGCTTTTGAGAGTAGCACAAGAATTACATGTCGATGTAGCAGTTGTGTGCGTTCTAGTGCAGGACACATCATTGTAGGCAAACAGTCAACAGCAGTAGGCGGTACCTGATTTTCTTCATTTGCCAGTGGAAACAGCCACATGTTAATAGTGGCCTTCCTTTGTTGTACTTCTTCCTATAGATAAGCACAAGTGAAAATTTTTATTTAATTCTCTTGCCACAGTGGATTTTTTCCTCCCAGAATGTTAGAATGTATAGTTATGCCTCTTTCTTTTTTTAATGCTGGCAACTGCATAACAGTTAATATTTTCCTAATATGCAAGTGTAGTAGCTAGCGTAAGTTTCTTATTTCTTTAGAACATTACATCAATATGATAGCTATGCATAAATTGGTAAATATTGATTTCTATATGGCATTTATAAATGGAAATGTAAACTAAGCTGCAAATATATGTAAATCAACACTATAACCTACAGCAGTATTTGATATGCATAGTTATTCTTTCTGTAAGTAAGAACTGACACTTCAGAAAAGATGTAAGCAGCAAACATCTATAGTTTCTGTAGGTTTTTTCCATGCTTAGAAAATGCAAGTCTCTTGCCTTCCCCTCCTCCCCCCCGCTTTAAACTTTATCTCAAAGCAGTCATGGCATTCTGCTTGTACATATACCTTTATCAGGGTGCAAATTTCTCTTGGGGAAAGAGAATTCGTATAACGCCTTTGTCCACAGAGCTGAAAATGCCATGTTAACAATGGAGAAAACTCTCTCTTCTCTTTTGTTCAAAAAGTGGAAAAGATGAGATCCTACTGGTTTCAATAAACCAATTTATTCATTTATTTATTCATGAAATGTTCTCAGCTATTAGGAGAGACTGAATTACAAGACCATTACTTATTTTTAAAGGGTATGTTTACTGAACAGATATATAAATAAGTCAGTATTAAAAATGGTGAGTTTCAGCACTCGCCTTACAGAGATGCAGTTTAATTAAGGTGCTGAAGTGCACTGCTTTCATTTAGGAAATAAAATGTTGTTTACATTTGCTTGCTTATCTGCATCTTCAGAGTCATATGTTGTAGTATCTCTATTTAATAGCGGCAATTATTTTTGTTATTTATATGTGGAGTTGGGGTTGTACTTGTGAATGTTATTTGCGTACTATGGATGTATGTCAGCCAGGATAACGCTCACTTATTTTGTACAGTTTGTCTCTTGGTGTAGTAAACGGTTTTCTTTCCTTTGGATCAAAAGAAGGATAACTTCAGATTCTCTCTTTTTTTTTTCGTATGGTGTTCCGAAAATGTTCCTAATGAAAGGATTTGTCTTCTGGAAATAATGTAAAAAATTGTCATTACTCAAGAAAAAAGACCCTACTGAATGAAAGAGTCTAATTCCAGTCTGTTCAATTTTTTTGTTCTTGTTGTTTAGTTCTTGCTATTGCTTACCATATGCAATAATTCTACAAATATTTAAAATGAGCTAGTTATTACTGATGAGTTTGTTCCTGGTCGCAGGAAAGTCCTGCCTGATTGTACTGTTGGATTTGATGCCAGAAAACAACACTTGGGCAAGATGGCCCAAGTGGATGGCAGTTTATGCTAGTTCGGGCTCCTCTGTATTCTTATACGCATGTTTTCCTCTCTTTTCAGCTGTAAGCACAAGGTCTACTTGGAAAAGCTACCAAATACTAGCATAATTATCCCATTTCATAATGAAGGCTGGACTTCACTCTTACGAACAATACACAGTATTATCAACCGCACTCCAGACAGCCTGATAGCAGAAATCATTCTTGTGGATGACTTCAGTGACAGAGGTAAGGCCTGACAGTTTTTGTTTTAACTTGAAATGTACAATGCAACGTGGTCTCCGTAAATTAAACAGTGGCAAAAGGTGAGGAGCCCTCAGCTGTTGGATTGCTTTCCTTGAGAAGTATGGCCTGATTGTTAACTGGATTTAACTTGTATGAATAAGTGATTGGCTTTTGTGTTACTTTGCACGAATACTGGAATTCATGTCAAAGGGAAGAAAAGATGAACAGTTTGTTGGCCTTTTATTAATATAGTATTTTGAATATATTCTTTCTGAAATACTGCAACTTCTTAGTTTCAACATCTCTTCCTTAGGCTTCACTTTTCCTCAGGAAACCTATGTATTTTGACCTTTTGGGATGCAACTCATAGGATTTTAATACTGGGATTTTATTGAATTAGGCAGCTTCATATACTGGTACAAAATAACAATATAGAGAAATGAGACTATTTTACTTGTTTAGGTACTAATCTTTTGAATGGAAAGTGAAAAACTGCTTCAGAATAGTTGATTAAAGTTTACAGCATCTACATATAGTAAAATTAAGAAAACTGAAATCAGGAATTGAAGTTTCTTGGGTAAGAATCAATGATACAGATCTTGGCAATACTTGATTGCTTTCGAGCTTCTGTTCGTGTTTTAGGACTTTTTTTTTTTTTGGCTGAGGCATCAGTTGTTGGTATTTATGAGTGTATTCTGGGTAGACTGATAGACAGCAAAAGAGAGAATTGTGCTGTTTGCTAGTCTTTTTAGGTATTGCCTTTGTCTCAGCTAAGAACTTCCTGGAGTGAATTTCTAACTTACTGGGAGGCAGGACAGGAATATCAGTGTGTGTGCATGTGTACGAGATTTTAATTTGATTTTGCGGAAGTTAGAAAGATTAATGGTACATGTATATATCTTACCCCTTCATCTCTACCATTTTAGTTGCAGTATGTCCTTTGGACTGTCCATCTGTAATGTAATTTATGTGAGATCATAAAACATGTACAATTCTGGCTATTCTGTGGATAGAGTCTAGTGCATAGATGACAGTTTTCAAAACAAGAAGTGAAAAGGAGACAACATCCCTCCCCCTTGCAGGCTAACCATTTCCTCATAGTAAACAACCTGCAGGGAAGCCTATAAGTTGGTTTTATGAGATATCTGACAAACAAAAAAGCATCTCATTCTGAGATAGCAGTTACTGAGGCTGTTTGCTCAATGCTAATCGTGCTTTTCTGTATATGGTGATACTGTAGGGTGGTGGTGTTCTATTGCTGACAATATCTTGCTGACTATTGTTGATGCACTGTTAAATGTCTTACTGTTCTAGAAGGCTTGTCTACTCATCCCAGTTATTGGAAAAAGGATTATTGCTATTAAACAGGAAATAGTGTAATTGTTGATACTATTGATGCTACTTCTTGCCTGGTGGTCCCCCAGCTTAGGTTCTGCTGCTTGCTGAAAGTATTTTAGGAGTAAATATTAATGCCTCTTTTTCTTCTGATATCTCTCAAATCTTTCTCATTTCCTACTATAGACACCTATATGACTTTTCAGTGGAACAGTTTTCAACTGGAAAAGATGGTTTATATAGCATGAAAATGCTTAGCATAAAATATTTGTTTTGAAAATCTGGAAGAAACCTGTCATCTTATTAAGAAGACTTGAGCTGAGCTGGGACTAGAAGCGTTGCATCCGTTAGAAAGTCGTGCTTACCTGCTTTTTAATATCAATAAACTGAAAAGTAGAAGTGCATTTTTGAATGGTTCTCAGTTTTGAACTTGTGCATGTTTGGTACCGTATGTTTTGAGAAGAGCTATTCTAACATATAAGAAAAATATGCAAGCATCTGTACTCTGGATTAAATAATATTGAGTTTCAAGTCAGGTAAATCATTTTGGTAGATCTGAAGTGTCTTTAATTATTGTATTGGTGATGCTTTAAACTGTGTTTACCTGAGGCCACGTCTTGTTTTCTTGTGGATGTGGTGGTGCTGCTGTTGTGTGTGTTTGTGGTTGGGTTTTTATTTTTATTTTTTTCTTTTTTCATGGAGCGAGCCACATGTAGTACAGATAAGTTATTTTATGTTGAAAAACGTTGACTGATTTATCAACCCCCAGTTCATAAAATAATCTAAAAAGAGTTACTGAAGTAGTGCCTTAGTTTAGTGCTATTAATTCTTCATCCTATACTTGCTGTTTTCTAGACCTATGAGGGCAGGAGACTTACCGAAGACAGTTTAAGCCAAATATTGAATATAATTGGGTAGGACCGTTGTCAAATCTAATAGAATCTTTGCAAGCAAAGTTTACTACAATGCTGAAGATGTTATCACATAGTAGTGATAAATTCGTTGCTGTTTTTTCATTGTATATCTTCTCCATGAAGTTTTATGTGACACATAGCTGACAAATGGCTATTACTTTCTCTTGTGAAATCAGTTATATAGTATTCAAGCAATATTGTGTATGTTATACAGATTCTTAGGATACATATTAAAAGAGAGACCTCTCTACGAGGAACCTAAACGGCATTTGTAGATAACTGAAAGTGAGAATATAGCATTTAAACAGCACTGAATTTATTTTAAAACTAGTCATTAAATGCCTAGTGTTTCCCTATTGGGTGTTCTGATCATTACCCCCTGGCCAAAGTCTAAGAAGCAGTTGTTACTGAGAGATAGTACTTGTTACAAATAAAGTATGTTAGGGAAAGGAGAAACCTGAAAGGGCTGTAGAAGACGGGTTAAAATGTTGGAGCTTTTTCTGTTTTGTTTTCTTCGCTGAGGCAAGTAGAAATACTGAAATGCACATAAAGAGCTTCTGATAACAAATGACGATAAAAATATTTCAGTGCATAGCAAATTGTTGGGTGCTTGGCTAGTTTGTCTGCAGAACTATTTGTGTGACTTCATCTTGTTCACATTCACTCCTTCAGCTTTGTGACCAGAACCAAAACTTTTGATAGTTCATATATAACATCTAAATGTCATAATTTATGGTTAATATTAAAAAGATTGAAAGGATGGATGTATTAAGAGGAGGAGTTAAACAAGTGTTTATGAAATATAGGTATGCAATGCTTGGTCATGAAAAAATTCAATGTCAAAAACTGCATGGATTAAATTTAAAAAAAACAAACAAAACTCTGACAATCAGAAAGGGGAAACCTACATTTCAATATAGGGTACCCAAGGCTGGAAAATCTCTGTATGTGTATCATGTATATAGAATTTGTATACTTAAAGATGATGAAGGAATACGAGCAAAAATATTGATGGAATTAGTTGAATTATTTCCAATGTTTGTTTCAACAAAAGCAAACTTTGATTTACATAGCTATAAACTGAAACGCCAAATGCTAATGTATTGGCAAGATGAAAGGGAACTGAATCTATAGTTCACAGAAGCTGTTCAACACATAAAACGAGAAATACATTGTCACTCAACAAGCCCTATAAGAGGCAGGTGTTTGACTTCTGCTTGGTTTACCCTGGAGGGTTATTGTCGAGCTATGCTGTGTTCTGCTGAGGTCTAGAATTAAGAAGGTTTCACGCTCTCTTGCAGCTGATTTCGAAGTGTGGTTTTTTGGGTTTTTTTTGGTTGGTTAGTTTTTTTTTTTTTCCCCCAACTTTCACTGACATCTATAGCTCAGGTTTAAGTACCACAGTCTTCCCACAAAAGGTCAATAATATACATAACTTTGCATACTAAAGTGTACAAAATATTTTTGATCCTTTTTTGGAAGAAGTTTGATTAATTTGGGGGTGGAAATTACTCTGATACCTGGTTCATGAAAGCCCTATATTCAAAAGTACTTGTACATTAAAGAGCTTCAAGAAGTTTAGGAGGTGTTGCCTGATACGGAAAAGGCACATCTTTATTTTTGAGTGTATTCTGTGTGAGATGTCTCTGTGATAGTTTTTTTTGTGCACCTCTGGTGTTAGCCTAGTTTCTGGGGAAATGAGACTGGTGGAATGTGTGTGTGGTTTTTGTTTTTTTGTTTTTTTCCCTGAGAGTTTTAGAGTTTTGCTTCAATATTTATTTATTTATTTTTGGAAGTAATAGGTCAGTTTCGACCAAAGCTGAAGAAGGCAAGTGTTTCAGATAACTTTTCCTAGAAAAATCTGTGGAAACAAGAGTTTGTAGGACAGAATTATGAAAACTAAGGTCACGAGTGCAATCATTCTACAATGTTATTCAGGCACCCTGACCAGCCAATGTAGCGCAACGTTGTGGTTAAAGTTGTAGGGTCTGTTGGCAAATAGATAGGTCTCTGAAAACATGGCAAGAGGCAGAGTGTGGGTAACTAACAGCATCAGAGCAAAGGATACAGAACTAAATAGGAAGCCAAATGTCATAGGTTCCGTTACAGAACAGCTTGTTTTTAAAAACTCTAATTTATATTTAAAAAATTTGGGGCAACGTAGGTTTGCTTAATGAGTTCAACAAATAGGTTGCAAACACCTTTGCTGGTAGGTTTGCAATCAACCTTTATTTCTTTTGTGTTTTAATGACTTTGTTTGCATAGTCAGTCCTGTGAACTGTCGGTAACCCAGCTTCTGTCCATGCATGTGAAACTTAAAAATAAATACCAAAAAAAGGGGGGCGGGAGTCGAGAATGACTTAACAGTCAACAGATTCTTGCAGGGTGAAACCAATTTCTGTCTGTGACAATGAACTGGTGTTTTCCGGTGGAAAAAATTGTCTCCTGGGAAACTTTCATTCACGCTGATCAGCTAGTCCCTTCTTATTCTGTTTCCTCTAATGTTCTCCTATCTCTGTCCTCTTGCTTAGCTCTATTTTCTGCACCACTACTCATTTTGTGCTCCGAGTATTGCACTGTCCCGTATCAGATACCATGTGCTTTGCACCAGACTGCCATTCTGTCAATAGCCCGAATTAATAACATGCAGGTCAGTTTGCAAAGGCAACCTGTGATTGATCAGGGCTTGGTTTAGCTGGTCAGGACACTTCAATGCCAATGATGCTCTTTATTTTGTATGAATGTGGAGAGACC